CCCTATAGTTTTCACCCAGCTCGCGCCTACAACATGAACGACGATAAAACGCGGCCATTAAGAAATGGGTAGAAAGTATGTCTGTATAACCATATAGTTATTCCCCAATGGTGACGAAAATGTTGGAAGCGGCTACTGTTTCATAAAAACGACACATTCGGAGTAACGAGAAAAAATTACGCGTTGTCTTTCAAGTTGTTGTAACGCGTTCTTTTTGAATCGCAGTAACGGGTGAGTAGTAAAGCATTACATGCCCCCTTTTTAACTCTACCCCCGATCTCAAAATTTTGTCCGTTCATCTGCCCGTAAGTTTCCCGCTAAATTTTCCGGGGAAAGTGGCGTCACGTTACATCCCGGGACATCCCGTAACCTATACACCTTAGGGAAATTGATGTCACGTGGCCTATATGTCACCTAAGTTTCCCCGCTAAATATAGCGGGAAAGTTCGCATATTGTGACCCAGACACCAAACCAGTTTCCCCGCTAAATTTAATGGGGGAAATCGACGTCACGTGACGTCACGTGACGTGACATCACGTGTATAGAGCCATTCAGTTTCCCCGCTAAATTTAGAGGGAAAAGATATGCCTTGTTGCACACCAATTCCCTATAATGCATTTTATGCATTATAGGACTTTGAAGGTAAAGGTTTGCCAATGTTTTAGTTACTTTTAGAGCGCGGTTCTATAGGCGCCCGTTTTCGGCTTGAACGGCACCGCCGTCGCCATCAGCGTAACCGCGCTTTGCATTAAAGGACATTTCCCATGATAACGTCACACGTGACGTCACGTGTGACGTCTCGAGGACTAAATTTTCGCCGATAAATTTGGCGGAAAATTTTTCCGCTAAATTTGTAGGGAAAATTTCGCTAAATTTAGCGGGAAAATGTTGCCCTCGTGATCTCACACGCGACGTCACGTGACTTCGCACGTGATGCACCTCAACTCGGGAGAATTTCACCGCTAAATTTAGACGAAAAATCATCCCGCTGAATTTAGCGGAAAAAATATTATCCTCGTGATGTCACACGCAACGTCCCGTCTGACGTCACACGTGACCCTCCCCTCCGTACCCTCCCCTCCTCCTCCTCAAGAGCTGCGCTCTAATTCGGCATTACAAAAAAATTTAAACGTCTCATATTTTGGGGGTGAGCAACGAGTAACATTATCGGATTACTGTATTTCAGTAACGTGCACATGTCTCGTCAGACCCTAGCTTGCGGAAGGCAACGTTACTCCTAGGCACGTCTGTGTAACATGTCGTGCGAAACTCTTTTGGAGACGTCGGCGTCAGCCGTCTCGAGAAAACATGATGCTTTGTGCAGAAAAGGGTAGTTACTGAGCATTTTTTAGGCACATATTACTTTTTTAACGGACCTCAGAAATATGTCCGTACGTCTGTCCGCTAAATTTAGCGAGAAAATCGACCTAACGTGAAGTGAGATGGCCATGTGGCACCGTGACCTGAAGCCGGGAAGTCACGTGGCGTGACCACACCGCATTACGTTATGGCATTACGTGACGCCACGACTCGAAACAGTGACGCCGATTTCTTAGAAACTTTTATCGTTAAAACGAATACAGTCTGTCCTTCTTCACTCCCTGAAACGACTGTTTAACGTTTCCCAACCAAGTTAATACGATCGCTCCTAAATACAAAATTCCATGCATTATGGAACTTTGAAGACAAAGCTCACTGGTACGTTTCGTATCTGTCTGTTCCACGTACAGTTTCTTTCACGTTTGCGTAATAATATTACGGTGAACCTCTTAATAGCATCGCTAGTGGCGTGATAATATTAAAACCAAAGCACACGCTAACAAATGAGGACAGTTCAATTGCGAATATAGTTGATACCGCACATAAAACAATTCAGTGCATCCCAACCTTAACGACGACGCGAAAGGTTAGTGAAAGGTCGCTACCATAGCAGCTCTTCACTATATTTTAACATTGTTTCGACTACACAGTCACGTAACGCGACATGCGCACTTTTCGCACGTGGGTAGGAGAACCGATTTCCCAGCGTGTTTTAACAATTCATCAACATGTCAATATTTATTTTTGGTTATCTTTACACCGATCTTCATAGATTTTTTCTTCGTCCCCTCAAAAAGAAAGTGTTAAATAAATTTGAATTTCAACTACCTGTACTGTCACAACATCAAGATATGTCTTGTGAGCGAAAGAACATTGATGTTTAAAAATTAAGAACTTTTGGTGGGATGGTAAATAATATCTTACTTATGTTTCAACGAACTCAGTTTTGCAGAGTTGGAATTTAGATTTTGTTTATTTGATTTAATCCCAGCAATGTTGTCAATTCGAATCATTTTGTTGATAGGTGCGTCATGATGATCGGAAGAATATATCAGACGAAAAAGCAAAAACAAAACTCAATTCGTATCCACACCCTTGTCCCGTAGATATCACAGTTGAAAAGCTCCTATGAAAACAGCGCTTAAAATCTCTCAAAGGATAAACATCAACGTTGAAATGGTAGCCGGTTCCTCAACTTGTGTATCTGCTACCTCAGCAAGAAGTCAAAAGTCATCCGAAAACTGTCATCGCACTCTAAAAGCTCCTCAAGCATACGAGGTTTCCGGCTCTCGGCAAAGCGAAAGTCCAGAGATCTCAAGTGGCTTCTCTGTCTCAAGTACCCTTTTTTACTCACTTTTTTTTCCTTCTTTACTTTTTTTTCTCTGGAGTCTCACGCCTCCAAACAACTCGACGATGCGATAAGTTGTAACAGTTGCTTGGCAGTCGGCGCACCAGTACCCGCTCAATGCCGATTTCATAGATTAGTTCGTTGTTGTTTTTGTTCCTTTTTATTATTATTTTTATCAAGTTAAGCTCCAAAAGAAACTGTGAAACGACTGCCGGAAATAATCCTGCAATGAAGGCTGAATGTCTAACATTGACGTGAAAAAAAAACAACATACGCCCTTCTCACTTTTTGTTTCTAACATTATTTTGAATAAGAAGGTTGTGTTCTGACGAAACTAACCTGAACTTAAGAAGTTGTGATTTGATGTGTTCGCCTGGCTGCGGGTATTTTCTTCGTTTGGTTTATTGAGAGAAACAAAAGGCGTAGTTGGGTTTAGTCGTCACGTGCAATATCATAACCATCCCGTCCGGGACTTAAAAGATTTTCCATGTTCGTTGTTTCGATTCCCCTACTATGGTTTTGTTGTTTTGAAGAAATAAGTGTGAACGATCTTGGCTTGCTACATCATTTCATCTGATTGTCAAGTATATTTTTAAAAGCACATCATTCCAAATTCATTGCGGGGTGCCTTTAAAGAAGCCTGCTTAAGGTACACCGCTCTAACACTGGTTGTCATATGACAAAACCTACCCTTCCATCTGCTACCCGCTCATGATCTGTATACATGGCCTGTGAGTCAAAGTATTTATCTCGGGAGGATGTCGTTGTATAACGAAGCTCTCTTTTTGGCGACGTATGAGTGTCACAACCCCTCCAAGCACTAAAGCCTCCTTTATTTAAAGAAAAACACTGGAGCAGTCAATGAGCATACAGTGGTATATTCATGTCACCAGTCACAAAATCTTTGCATTAAAACTCGCATAAGTCAATTCGCTTGACTCAACAATAATTAAATTACCTGAAAGCTTATGTTATGTTTGGGTGAATAAATCGTTATTATTGGTTGAAGGTTACAATAACAAGGGGGCATAGTTCATCACTGACTTTAGATGGACAGGTTATTGTGTCATCATTGAGGCTAAAGGCAAGGTTGCCTAAATGAAGCGTTCACCAAAAGATATTCCTCTCTCTTTTTTTTTTTTACTACTTTAAAACGCTCGCCAATTTGACCCTCTCGTTTTCATTGGGATTGTATTCTTTCTACGCAGGCTTCATTTCTGCGGGAGTCTCGGACGCACAAAGTCTGGGGCCTATTTACTTTTCCTTAAAGCACAATTAAATCGAGTCAGAGGTGTCGGCATACTCCAATGCGTCCTGAAACCATGATTAAGAAACATTTAAGAATTCCATTTTTCCAGTGGTAAGTCCACGATTAAGGGTCCCTAATAACAAATAAAGTTAATTTGTTTCTGTAGGAAGTTCTTTTTTTTTTTAAATAACCGCAAACGTGAGCTTCCCAGCTATAAACGAAACTTAAGGTTAAGCGCTTGCCAATATTAACAGCGAACTTATTACCGACGGCGTGAACATTTGTCAACCGACCGGGTCAGCTTTGTATCAGTGTGCGGTCGTGTTACCTGCGTGACCCACGCTAAGAAGCCTGAACAAGGAATTATAATGTACCGACTGAATGCCTCGACGGATGGATAGATAGATGCTAATGGTTGTATCCTTTATAGCGGACCCTAACTTGCGCCACGTAGCCTAGAAACTCATCTACCGCTCATCTACAGGGAGAAACAGTGTCGCCGTACAGGGTAGGTCTACCTCACGCTGTTTAAAAATCCGACGTCTAATTTGCGCTTTGCTTTTCACTTTATTTTAACAAAAAGAGAGTAAACATAGGAATCTTTTCCCTTAAAAAGTTTTTTTTTTTTTTAAGTCTCTGCATTAATCAGAAAGAAACTAGATTTGTCCCGTCACTTCCTTCCCTTAAAACGGAAACAATAGTATTAACAAACAAAACGTCAGGGCGCAAGAGTGCCTGGTCTAAGTTTATAAGTATTGAATTACCCGAAACTGCGGGGACGCCAAAAAAGGACAAAAAAAAATTGGTTTTTAAATTTTTTTTATTGCGGTTTTTGGTAATTAAACATTGACAATCGTATATTTATTTGCCTACTTCGTTTTACGGCTTCGGACTGTGTCTACTTCAACACACTTTCTTTGTCAGGTAACAGACAAGTTCTACCGACGCGCGTGTTCGAAAAAACCGCCATCCCGTTGTCGCCGCCCTTCTAAGTTCCGTCAATCCTCTCTCCCAACCTCCTTCCCCTTCAACAATCACGTGACCCACTGACGTCACAATCTATCGCGCATGCGCCAAGGCAGTCCAGCAAGTTCGCTCCTCGCCTCGGTCGCTCGCTCCTGCTGCTGGCCCGCCGCCTGCGAATCTTCCCGCAGTCTGTTGTGAGGTCTTGAACGGAGCACTTCTCCGGGGGTCGGCGCAGGCAACGGATGGACGCCTAAAACGTTAGCTCAGATGTCTCGTGCTCCAGCGAACTCTCCTTCAACCGGTGTCACCCTGTGATACAGGCTCACGTGTGAGACGTCTTTCAGCTCCACCTTCGGCTCCGAAATGACAACTTCCCTTAGAGGTGGCTCTTTGAACGCTGCGGTGCGGTGGTCAGCGCTTCTACTAGCGCTGCTCCAAATTGTTTGGCTACCGTACGTCTCGGCACAGGTGAGTGGATCGGGAAAAATCCATCTATTTGTTCCATATTGATCCTACACATTTTGTTTTCTTTGCTTTTGTTCCCAAGTCTTGGGTTTTGAAAATGTTTATATTCTATATCTTAAATATTTTCAGTTGGTTTTTTGAAGCGTGTTAGACACCAAATTATGCATCCTCGTTCTGACGGTAGCAACGTAGTTTGTTGCATGGTGTCAAGCTGCCTTGTACCTAGGAGAAAGAACGCGCAGAAAAAAGATACCCCCGGCATTTGTTTTTAATAAACATAATTTCGTATCTGTCATTGGTAATTACATCTTCCAGAATTTAATATTTAAAGCACCACGCTTTTTTATGAAACAAAAAAAAAAGTATAGTATTTTAGACATGCTACGGTCCCTGCGTGTAGGTACTCGATATTTACTAAATTGGGAAACGAACCCTATTATTGCGTTTATGACCTGAACCATTGGCCTTGTTCGCTCGTTATGGTGGCGTACAATCGTCTTTTGAGACGTCGATTAAATTTTTACTTACGTCTGTTCTGCCCCTGCGCAAGGTAAGTGTAAACAAATTAGCAAAACAGTTTGACGGGAAAGGCATTCGCGTGATTGGTCTAATTATCTTTCAGTCGTCCGACCCTGGAGATAATCTCGTCCAAATAATAATACAGTAGGTTCAATTCACGTCAAATGACATGTAAAAGCGGCAATCGATGATTTCATCGCTAGGTTACCTGAGAAGCCTACCCCATGTGGGTTTGGCTAGAAATTATCCACTTGGAATGTCAATATTTATCTCCTACATTTTATGGATATCGATATGTTCTTTGTTGTCCAGTCAGACATTTTATTTTTACGGAAATTTAATTTCATTTGTTAACCTTTAAATTTAAGTGTTTAAAGTCAAGAGATCTAAAATGACGTTGAAGAGGGGCAGACACGATTTATACTCATCAGCTGACTGGCAGACAGCAAAAGCAAAATCTTCCAAACTCAGTCAATGACTTAATTGCCATTGTTGAACAAAACAAAAACGTAATAAGGCCTTCCTGCACCTTTCGTTTGGGATTACTTTTTCTCTTCACCGTCATCTTCCGACTCCTTGTACCGGACTGACCTTGAACTACTTAAGACTCGGAATTCCGGTTGTCGGTACCGACAAGTGCAAGTTGCGCATTAGTTCGTCGAATCGATATCAATACAAAATAGATAGGGGGAATCCGATTGGACCGGTAGCAGTTGTAACTTAATATTTTTATTATGTGTCGTATTCGAGAGTTGCGCGCTCTAACAAAATGCAAGAAGCAGTCCCGGTAACCCTCTCTTGTTTGTTTGTTTTTGTGTGCGATATGCAAACGAAAAAGTTCAACCGACATAGCATGTCATATATGTATACGCCGCCCTTTTGTTAGCTTGTGCTGAAATGCTAACTTAATTACATATTATCTCACCGACTTCTCTCTTTACAGTACATCACGCGTTGTCCATCGACATTCTTTTGTAATTTCATCGCAACCTTAGCGCAATGTAGCTTTCGCAGCTGATGCGACCAAAACAAAAATCAGATTTATTCGATAGTTTACCGATGTCACTCCCTGACGCGCGTTTAGAATAATTACCGACCTACACGTATTTACGATGTGAAGGGGAATACACGACTCCTTATCCAAACAAAGTTTTAATGTCCCGAAACGTGTGAAACCTACACTTGCACCGGCCTGCTGTATACACTGAAAACGACATCTTCACAATTCGCTCGCGAAAACAAACTCTGAAGGGTTATCAATGCTTCTACGTTCCGCCTGAAGTCGGTTTACTGATCGAAGAATGGCACTCCAAGTTTACACCTCCGCTGTAGCCATTACTGCGAATTAAAATGGCGCTTAAGGGTGACTTCATATTTACTAACTCTGCGCTGGTCTTGCTCTCTTGTTTCGTGCTACAGTCAGCCGGTACTTGCACACGTTCTCAAGTAGTACTTTAATTATTTATCATTATCTCAAGTTTTGTTCTGTGTCTTTCTTCCTGTGTAACAAACAGCACGAACGATTTACGTAAAATACTCTAAATGTCTCATCAGAATCTCTGAACACAATTTTCGTATCGCTTTCTAGATTGGAAACTCATTTACATCTTGGCAGTGCAACAATAATCCACTATTATTTAGGTAAAGAGCTTAAAAATTATGCACGCTTTAAGCAACCCCCACCAGGTAACAAGTCAGAAGTGCCGAATACCTCGGCGTAACCTAACGAAGGCGCAGATTGAACACGAGTGGCTGCGTCGATCTTCCGCCGACGCTCGTGTTTGCGGTCTGTGAATGCACGACCTCCAGCCGAAGGTTTCCGCAACGCTCGTGTCAAATCCTTAGCCGTTCTTATGCGACGCCGAAAACCCAGCCCTTCGGCTCTGCTATAATGGAGGATGGCGCTATAAGCGCCTTACCCCGCTAAACCCCGACAAACATTCATTTCTGTACTCTAAATTACTAAGTGTTTTCTTTTTTTTTTTTTTTTTTAAGGGGAGGAGGCTTGAAAGTATTGTGGACAAAAAAAAGTTTTGAAAGATACACTGATGCGGTTTGTGCTGGTGCGTTTTACGGCCAGGGGGACATATTGTAGGGGGCTAGTCGTTGGAAAGAGCCGAATAATTAACTGAAATTTTCATTACCGCTTTAATGAATCAAAGTTACAACAAATTTCAGTTGATTACACGACTAGCGTGTGAAATAACCTGATATAATATAGCCCCCTGGTTGCATAACTCACCTGCGAAAACGGCGTTAATGTACATTTTATGATTCCGTTTAATTATATATGTTCGAATTAAAATCAGAATCCCTGTACGACACTATCAGCTTTGCAGTGATTCTAGCGACCTTCCACGGGGACGCTTGTTCACCAACGCAAACTTTCGAGGTCAATAGTTGAACCTCAATCCTAAATAAAACAAAGCAAGAGTTGATTTATGAAGGGTGTTTTTCAAATGTTGGGGATCAGTGTTTTTTTTTTACTTAAGGAGGCATTACAAAACTCTGGAAATGCGAAACATTTGGACCAGATTTGCAATCTCTCATTGCAACGTTCACAGAAACAGTCAAAGCTACGTGCACGTAGGAATCGGTTAGGGTTTTTAAAAACTCCACACCATCTTATCGCGGTTCTGTAAAGTGCGGCATCCTGTTATCCATAGCTCTTTAACCGTGTTATCGTTTGGCGATGGTGGCCTCTCTACGTGTGGGAAATCCGATAGCCTGATACTGCCCACGCTAGATAAATGAACGAGTGTGTTTTTGTGTGTTTGATTTTACGGGATATCCTACTTTTTGCCATGCACCTGCATGTATACTTATTGCGTACTTCTTTTGGCGTTGAAAATGTACTTCAATTCCTGCTTAAATAAATTAATATATTAATGTTGCTATCCAGACGGCTTTAAGTTCACTAAAATACGGCTAGATTGTAAATTTGTTTTGTCGAAATATAAAAGAAAACATTACCTACAAGTAAAAAAAAGCTATTTTCCCATGGATGGACTAATTATGAAACATTAGCTATCAAAGGATCCCATTGCCCCAGCACCATTCATTGGTTTTGCTCTTTTTTCTTATTATCCATAGCTGCCCATAGCAACATTTTGGGTTGTATACGTACATAGCACTTGCATGAAGCATACCTGGCTGCCTCTTGATGCACCCTAATGTTTTATGTAACCAGGCATATTAACGCGCAATCACGTAAAGGCTTGTTCACACATGCAGCGAAGCGCTACAAGTAAGCGCTGACCTCGCGCTAAGCGCGTGCTGACGGGAGCGTTCACCAGCATTGTATCGCACCGTCGATACAATGCTGGAATATCATCCAAAACAAACTACAAATAGCAACTTTCGTCGGTAGAAAATATACAGTTTTCAATGTTTAACGGCCTATTTGGAAACAGTAACCATGACCATTTGTTTACTTCGAAGAATTAAAAACGGCAAATAAAAACACCTAAACGCAATGGAAGAATCAGAGTTAATACCTCTCTTTACCTTTAAATTTCAAAATAGTGCATATAAAACCCGTGTTTAGAAACCCGAGTTCTATCATCTATATAATTTATGCATAAAAACTTCCATTAAGAATCAAAAGCACAGGCCATGCGTGCAAAGACGAGTCACAGAGATACTGGTAGTTTTGTAAGAGAGAACGTGCAGTCGACCTGGATCGGAAACGACATACTTGTACATCCTAAAAACTTGTCCTCGTCCGTTCTTTTTTTTTTTTTTTTTTTTTTTTTTGCCTGATTTTAGGGTTTACGAGTATAACTGGTAGTTGTCCAAGATAAGTGAAGGACTTCATAAATCGTTACCCTGTAGGTATATTCTAAGTAGGATTTTCGTTTCTTCAATAACCTACATTATAAAGTACAAAATGCTTGCACACTGATTTGATTTTGCAGGGGAATTCAATCGACTGGACAAGGATTGGTGTAAACTTGCTTCTACGAAAAATATAACGCGTGTTTCTTCTTGAAATTTAAACAATAATGCATGCTGGCGCCATGAAAAATACACTAGCTAAGGGGTCTTGTAGCCTGATTAGTGAATCAATCATTCACTGTTCTATAAAAGCCCAGCTTGAAAAGTAACTAGGGTCGCTGGGAACGTAAACAAGCAAAAAAGATGAATACGGGTATTTTTTTTGTGATTGAATGAATGAGGAAAATTTGTTATTGCATGTTTATATAATGAACTATTGCGTGTGCCTTTTTTATTTTGTTTTATTTTTAATCGCACATCGTCTTAACCATTGAAAGTGCTTTACTTCTGAAGTATTGTTTACTCCAAGATAAGTATGCAGGTATTTCATTTTTTTTTTTTCGGGTGTGTGTCTTCAACTACGCAACCAGTTGATTTTAAGTGCAACAAGGCTTCGGTCTCATTGAACTCCATACAAACAAAAAACTGTAATCACGAAATATACTTAGGGGAAATCTGTATATCAAATCCTTATCTGATACGCCACT